TCTGCTGCGTGGCTGCAGCTCGCGAGGTGGTGGTGGTCGTGGAGCTTGGGGCCAGCGGCGGCTCTGGTTGCGGATGACGCTGGAGGCGGGCGAGGGTGAGTGAGGTGGAGCTGGTGGCGTGCGGCTCGGTGTGGAACGACGGCGGACCAAGCAGAAGAAGGAAAAGAAGAAAAGAAAGAAAAGAAGGAGAAAGAAGGAAAGAAAGAAAAAGAAAAGAAAGAAGAAGAAGAAAGAAAATAGGGTTTCGTGTCTTTTGAATTTTTTTTTTTATATATATATTTTTTATATTTTTAAATTTTTTTTTTACAAAGAAACCCAGTCTTAGGCGTGGGTACGCCTAACTGCTATAGAATCCGCAGATCCTGAACAAAAATTTCTTCCTTCAGGCGTGACCACCTGGCGTGGGCACGCCTAACTGCTATAGAGTCCGCAGATTCTGAATGAAAAGTTCTTTCCCTCAAGCGTGACCACCTGGCGTGGGCACGTCTAACTACTAATTTCCTGCCACCAAATATCAAACTATTAATTGACACTAACACTTAACTAAAACTTCAAAAATGCATGAAAACTGAAACAAATAGTCTTGGGTTGCCTCCCAAGTAGCGCCTTTCTTTAATGTCTTTGGCTAGACATGCTATGCTTGTTCACGGAGGATAAAATCCTGTAACTCGCTTCAATGCTTCATCTTCAATGTGATCCTGGTAACCCTCATAGATGGAATAATCTTTGAGCACACGAGCTACGGTCTTCCATGGACTAGTTGATGGCGCCAAATAATCAAGCATTGATCGCAATTCTTCATCCACTTCTCCATCAAGAGCATCCATCGGTTCAAGATATTTGACCATAGCTACTCTTAACTTATTTCTGCCATGAGACTCAAAAACTTCCGGTAAAACAAAATCAATCTCATTAACAGAAATCATGGAGTAAGAGTTAAGAAAATGCGGGTTAGGGAATGGAGGTGGTGTCACCATATTTGATGATTTTTCACTGGATTCTTTCACTTGAATGGGTTGCGGTTGGGGTTCCATTTCTTCCTTTTCGGCTTCTTTTTCAACTGCATCTGTAGATTTCTCATTTTGACACTCTTGCATCTCCTCATCACTAGTCAAGCAAATTGCACTCTCATCTTCTTCTAGATCAACAATGGTTTTCGAGGGCAATTCTTTCCTTTGAGAAGCCAATCGATTCATTCTGGATGTCAATAGACATAGTTGATCTGCCAGATAACTCATTGCATCCTTCATCATCTCATTCCTCATTTGTGTCTCCTGTTGGAATTGGTATGTATTAATAAATAATTCACCCAATTCCTGAAGAGACATACCTGACATGGACGATGGTTGTTGAGACTCTTGCTGTTGAAAATCCATTGGCCCGGTCGCATAATCAAAATTGAAATTATCCCACCATCCTTGATCATACCCGTTTGAATAAGGGTCATATTGCGTTTGATATTGGGGTGGAAAATCTCCAAAAGTATCAATTGGAGCACTTAGATTATCTTGAAATGCGGGGCATGTGTCAGTTGAATAACCTGAGTCAAAATAAGTTCCACAATTTGCAACAGCCCATTGATCATTAGGAAAAACATGAGTCTCATAACCCCATTCAGGAACAAAGTCCAGTCTATCATCAAAATATGGAATGTTCGAAGCCATAAACTACATAAAAAAATAAGACAAAAACAAATAAAAAAAATAAAAACAAGATGAACTCAAAAAGAAACAAATTAATCTGGCACCAGTCCCCGGCAACGGCGCCAAAAATTGACAGGTGCCGAACCTGTGCAATAATAAATACCTACTCGAGAAAAATACAGATTTTGTATATAGCAGTGAGTAGGGTCGAATCCACAGGGACTGGGGATAATTCATTTCTTCTAGAGTCCAAAGTATGGGGGGTTTTGGATTAAATGCTAACTAAATAAATTAACTGCAGAAAATAATTAATTAAAAGAAATGATTGAGGAAACTCTAGCCAAGGGTACACATCAGAAATGGTTCATGCACTGATCATTGATGCAGAAATAATTCCAACATTTAGCAATAGATTAGTTATAGTTGTCATGCACGCGATAAACAACCAACCCTTCCTTAATTTCTCGATAGCTAAGGTACGACCGTTAGCTATTTCTCTAACCCACAAATAACCCTAGGTACGACCGTAGGATTTAATTTCTAGATTGCATTAATAATTAGAAAGACTCAATCCTAACCAACAAACACGCTACGAGGGTTTGTTTAAATTAGATCATATGCTCCCCTGACATAAACCCAATTACGCCAGTTGCTATTGAGGTAGAGATAACGAACAATTACGGATTCAATTACCCCTATTTAGCAAAAATAGCCTATATGAATAATTAATTATTGCGCACTAATCAATCATACACAAGGCCATAGCAATTAAAATCAAGGAACATATAAATACCAATAAATGAAGAAATAATTGAAACAGATTCGATCTCACAGTAATTGTCGAACCAAATCGTCAGTTGTCCCCTTGACTAGAAAAGCTTAACCACGCCTCATGAGAAAATCTCCCCGTTGGGGAATATTATCGAATACCTGGCGTGTGTCAGAGGCCAATCCAAAGAAAGAAAACTAGAACTAAACTAAAAAACTAAAACTAAAGCCCTAGATGTCTTTTGCTTCTGTACGTTGTCCCCTTTTAAAGCAACAAAAGAAAGATGACTAAAAACTATCTAGGTGGTCCCCACACATGTGGACAAAGCCTCCCAAGTACTTCTTGTTCCAAGTCTCTCTACGTTGCTTTCTTTGAAGCCCAAATGACCAAATGCCTTTCACTAGCTTGTGGTCCCCCACCAATTCAAGGGCCCAAGGATTGAAACCCTTAGAAGTCTCCATATTTTTCACAAAGTCCCTCCTTTTTGGTAGTTTTCTGCTTCATTCCTGAAATTGATTCCAAATACTAAATATGAGTAAATATCAGCAATTAACACAATATTTGTCAGGGATAGAAGGAAAAATTAATAATAAAAATACTAACAAATTATACCCTATCAAAGGATCATCAGAAACTCCTGGTAATGATGGCTCTTCAAGAGCATCCGAGAAGTGTGGGCAAGAAATTTTTTCTGAATAGCCCATACCGGCCAGCTGATAGTCATAGAGCAAACAAAACACAGACCAAAAAACTTTCTGCAATGAAGTAACAACTTGTTTCAAGGACAAGAAGCCAGGAAAAAAGGAGCAAATTTTTAGTAATATAGTAGGTAAATTCTTACTGCTAGACCTTGTGACTGAAACGGCAGATTGACAGTGTGCAAGTTCCGATGGTAAGGATATGAGGCATTGGCTATTCAAGGTACCAATACGAAAGAAAAGAGTGCCATCATAAATATTTCTGTCCAACTGAAATAGGATTTGATTCAAAGCAATTCTTAAAGATGCTTTCTAAGCGGTTCAATGAGTAATTAACAATTTCATGTTCACTTTCTTGCTTAGTAAACAATGTTTTCCAGTGGTTAGTACTGGAACCAATCTTTACTTTCTATAGGTTACATTGTTATACAGATATGCTGTTTGAACAATGGGAACTAGAATGCAGCATATGTCTAGCGTAAACTACAGCTTGGGCTGGAGATTTGGTTAAGAACTTTCGATGCTGCCATTTTGCTCTGTTATTGGTCGAAGATAAGCTGGTCAGAACTTTTGACCAAGTAATCTTGGGAAGTTTAAGATATTTTTATTGGATCATATTACTTACCTGGTTAAAAACCTTCTTTTTGTCACATATGCTTTCTTGGAAATGATGCTGTTGAGTTATTAATACATGAGAGTCGTAGCATGCCTTTGTAAATTTAATTCTTGCAATAGTGGTACATACAATGAGAGGAAAAGAAAGAATCAGGTGTTTCTACGTCCTACCAAAGTACACAAGGTTTTCTGGGCACATTAGAGGTTTGCCTGTTGATTTTATCAAATGTAAACCATGTCTTCTTTTCTTGTCTGCGCAGGTTTTTAACTGTTTTGGCCACCAATTCTGCTTGTATTTTGAGGCGTTTCATCTAGGAACAGCTCCGGTTTATATGGCATTCCTGAGATTCATGGGCACTGATGAAGATGCAGAAAAATTTTGTTATAGTTTAGAAGTTGGTGGAAAAGGTAGAAAGCTAACATGGCAAGGTGTTCCAAGGAGCATTCGCAACAGTCATATAACAGTTCGAGACAGTTTGGATGGATTAATTATTTATAGAAGCATGGCACTCTACTTCTCCGGCGGGAATATGAAGGAGCTCAAGCTTAAAGTGTCTGGCCGTATATGGAGAAAAGACATGTAAAAAAAGAAAAAAAAATTCATGGTAGTGTTATGGTGTCTTCTGTTTTTTTGGAAAAGAGTTAATGGTGATCTATGTGTTAATTTCTATGATTGGTGGATGAATTTTGCTAGATATGTAGTTTGTATAAAGATAATGGAGGCTCTTGGATAATTTCAGTTTGATAGATTTATTCTACTGCAACTTAGAGGTGGCTTTTCCTTGTGTATAAGTTCTAGAGTTTCCTAGCTCGAGGTCTCCGCTGTTTCCACACATCCTGAGCACAAACTCAAACTATTCTATTGCTTCTTACCTTAATATAACTACTGAATGTTGATTGGTTTAGCAGAGTTCGAAAACAACTACAAATAATCTGGAAGGGTGGTGGTTTGGAGGCCTGATGTTTTCTCTATGGTGGTTTAGAAGTAGGGAAAGGAGCTATAATGGATGTACCATCATTTTAATTTTCTAGGACGAAAAATGACATTGTCCATTGGGTTACATCAAAATCTGCAATGCCATCTTTTAACAGAGTTCAGGTTTAATCATCTGTAGAAATTGTATCAATATGTCAAAAACTACATTGATTTGTTATTAAAGCATCTTCATTTACATGTATGCATTACAGGCAGCAAGAAGTTCATCCTTCTGATCTCTTGAAAAAAGGACTGATCTCTGTATTCCTCTGAATCTGAATGTAAACATAAAGAAGTATTCACAATCTTCTTTGATCTAAGACAAGGATTTTCAGATTCACATTTCCCCAGTTCATCTGTTCTTCCTTAATCTCTTGAACCAAACTTCCAACATGGCCTGGACAGCGATGCACCTGAATCAATTCAAGAGTTGGAATTTCCCCCAAACAAGAAGGGAGCTCCTCCAAGTTCAAGCAGCTTTCCAAAACCAATTTCTGAAGACAAGGGAGATGATCACCGGAGCACGTCCACCTGACAATGCACAACAACTCCAATTTCAAGAATTTGAGTTTAGGGAATTCCCCTTCTGCCATGTTCCATATTTCTTCCCCACCAGCTTTTGTACCCAGTAATTTGAGAACCTCAAGATTAGGTAGGCTTCCTATTGAGGAAATCATACTCCAGGGAAATGCTTCCAAGGTCAACTTTTTTAGATTCATGGGGAAACTGAACTCATAATCCTTCTCTTTCACACGGTAAAAAGACAGCTTCAGTGACTCCAGTCGTCTTAGAAAGTCCATTGCCACAATCTTGTTCCGATCCCCACAAGATTTTTCTGTTTCACGGAGACTGCATTTCAGTTTGCGGATATTTGGAAACTTCTTCATTATCTTACCCATGCTTTGCCCCAAATCAAGCTCAAGAGCTGATATAGTGTCTAGGTTACACAAATCTGAGGAGCTGTCCAAGTTGTCTTTGGCCAAACTAAGATCAAAAAACTTGCCGCTTACACAGAGACACCTCAATGTCTGCATATTCCATACGGTATCTGGGAGAAAAAGACTACCATGCAACGATTTTAGAATAAAAGTTTCCAAATTCCAAAGGTTTGCTATTGATGATGGGATGTGATTCATGTTACCCGAAAATGCCAAGTATCTCAACTGAACAAGCAACATAATTTCGCCGGGAAAAACAAATCCCAGATTAATTTTTCCCAAATCCAACACTCTCAGAAGTTTGAAGATGCGAAAAATGGATGAGACATTGTATGGAGTTCCATATTCCTCACTCTGGGTAGTGACCACTAGAGAGGTTAAAAGAGGACAAAATAGCCGTGACTTCTGAAAATGCTTTGCTTTAGAGTAAATAAACAACCGACGTGTATTACTTGGCTTGTCAAACTTAGGAAGTCCTGCATCATCACGTCTCAGCTTTAGAAGATTTTCTTCTGTGGCTTTTCTCAAACAAAATTCATGCAACAAGTCATGAATGCGGCAAGTTTTGACTCCACTCGTAGATTTTGGTTTGTCAACTATAACCAAGCTTCTCCCAATTAGATCCATTATGTTGTCCTCAGCTGTGTCCTCTAGGCTCTTTACCTGTGTCTTTTGGACAAAGCCTTCAGCAATCCACAACCGCATCAATCTCCAGATAGGAATCTCTTGATCTTCTTGAAATGCTCCAAAATAAAGAAGGCATGGCTTCAAATAATGATGTACATGTTTGTAGCTCAGCTCTAATATACTTTTACAATGTTCTGTGCCAGACACAGTGTCCGAACTTAGACTTTCTGCAATTTCTTCCCAACCATCTTGCTCTAAATTTGCAAGAATTTCAGCTGTGATAACAACTGTTAGAGGTAACCCTTTACAACCTTTTGCTATATGCTTTCCATATAGAAACAGTGCTGGAGGATATCCACCTTTTTCTACCAGCTTCTTTTGTAGTAATTCTAAGCACTCATCATCAGTAAGTTGGCGAAGATGGAGAGGTTTACTTGCAGGTTTAACTTCTAAAGCCAACTTAGAAATTCGACTTGTTAAAAGAATTCTGCTTCCATTGGCATCATTTGGGAATGAAACTTTTAACGCATTCCAAGCCTCAATGTCCCAAACATCGTCCAAAACTAGGAGATACCTGTGTCCCTTTAAACAATGGTAGAGTGATATAGCAAGATCATCAGCATCCATCCTAGAGTATTCATCAGAGTCCAAAGGATCACTGCAAGCCAAAATCTGAAATAACACATCTTTCTTTCCATATACTTGAGAAATACAACACCAAGCACGAATATGGAAGTGACATATAATCATCGGATCATGGTAAACTTTATTAGCTAAAGTAGTCCTACCCAGTCCAGGCATGCCAACAATAGAAACAACGTCCAACTCTCCTGATCCTTTTGTAAGCTGATAGATTATTTGTCCTGCCTCATCACGAAATCCCACCACAACTTGATTGAATGTTGGCATAGTCCATTGCTACTATGAATGGAGTGGAATCTGAGCTTTCTTTTGAGCTTCATAGCTGAATTCATCATCACCAATCCCCATGTATTCCATATTAACAAGATTAACCTCTTCCATGATGGCACTGGGGGATTTAAATGTTTCTATTACTGCATATCTGTCTCCAACTTCCGCCTCAATAAGCTTAATAGTTTTTTGGAAAGCAAAGAACACAAGATCCATATCCTTGGCTGAGTCCTCTTTTAATTCATGCATAAAAAGTGAGTGGATCACATTTTTAGCTTCACCAACAGCATCTCCAATAATATCCTTCACGTTTTCAGGTAGCTCATCAAAGTTCTCAGAAATTTAAAAAGAACAAAAAAAAAAGGGAAAAAGGAATTGCTTAGAATCAGAGGGAGAAGAGGGACTTCCGAGAGCAGCGCTAAACAGCGAGGACAACTCCGGCTGGTGGATGGCGGTGACCGGCTAATGGCAGGGGCAGCTGTGGAGGAGAAAAAGGAATAGTTTCGAAGGAATTCAAATGGAAGAGGAGGAGGTGCAAATCGCATATATAAATCTTCAAACAGTATCGTTTCCTCTATTTATTTATTGGGATAATTGCAGAAACCTCCCTTGAGGTTTCTGATATTTGCACTGACCTCCCCTGTAGTTTGAAAAATTACACTGACCTCCCTTGAACTTACTAATCATTTACAAATTCAGTTCAAACGATTAAAATATTGTTTTAGGGAGTGAAATTAGAATTTTTTACCAAATTTGTCCTTTGTACTATATATCCAATGAATGACAAAGTACTACAAATCAATTAACAATTAATAAACTTTAAGGAGTATAATTTATAGGCAAATACACATTACTTATTTAAAGTACCGGCTCTTTATGGGTATTTTATTTTCAAACATTTAATTTAATACAAATATTTACGCTTAAATACAGATTTGTATTTACTTTCAAATACAGATTTCTTACTGCTAGACCTTGTGACTGAAACGGCAGATTGACAGTGTGCAAGCTCCGATGGTAAGGATATGAGGCATTAGCTATTCAAGGCACCAATACGAAAGAAAAAATTGCCATCATAAATATTTCTGTCCAACTGAAATAGGATTTGATTCAACGCAATTCTTAAAGATGCTGGCTAAGCGGTTCAATGAGTAATTAACAATTTCATGTTCATTTTCTTGCTTAGTAAACAATGTTTTCAGCAGTTAGTACTGGAACCAATGTTTACCTTCTATAGGTTACATTGTTATACAGATAATGTTGTTTGAACAATGGGAACTAGAATGCAGCATATGTCTAGCGTAAACTACAGCTTGGGCTGGAGATTTGGTTAAGAACTTTTGATGCTGCCATTTTGCTCTGTTATTGGTCAAAGATAAGCTGGTCAGAACTTTTGACCAAGTAATGTTAATGTGGCGTTGTCCCACATCGGCTTTTGTATAAGGGAATCTTTCCCTTAGTTGCCTATAAATATAGTGGGCCTGTGATGGGGTTAAGTGCACCAAAACCAATAGAGCATTAGTGGGCTATTTGGGCCTTTGGGTCGTTAAGCCTTTTGTTTAGTTAAATATTTTTTGAACTCTCTTGTGTTTTTAGTATTAGGTGTTTTAGGCCTAGGAACACTTTCCTAAGGCATCTTTTGTACTCTTTTCTTCATAGTAAAATATTGCTCCTCTTTCGCTCGTGGACGTAAGTCAATTTGACCAAATCACGTAAATTCTTGTGTTCTTGTTTTACTTATTTCTGCTTTGTTATTTGTTTTTTGGGGTTGCCAAAAATCCTTTCGTCAATTTTCTGGGGCCAGACCTAACAAACTGGTATCAGAGCTTCTTCGGAAGCTTTGGATTTTGTGACAACAATGACAATAACAATGACTGTCGTCAAGAAATTTGACAGGAATGTCAACTTCGGGATGTGGCAGTTCAAGATGGATGCCATTTTGGTTCAATACGGAGTTGATCTAGCGATAGACGGAATTGAGAAAAGGCCAGAGAGTGTGACAGAAGCAAATTTCGCTGAGATGGATAAGAAGGCAAGATCCAGTATTATCTTAAATCTCTCTGACGAGGTTTTGCGGGAAGTAACCACTGAGATTTCGGCAAAGGCCATGTGGGACAAACTTAAGGTCTTGTACATGAAGAAGACATTTGAGAATGGGCTTTGTTTAAAGCAAAGTTTGTATATGCTTCGCATGACTGAAGGTACATCTATACTCTCACATCTTGATAAATTTGATTCTATTATTATGGATTTGGGAAATATAGATTCAAAAATTGATGATGAGGATCAGGCCCTGTTACTTTTGTTTTCCCTTCTCCAATCTTTTAAACATTTTCGCGATACTATGATTTATGGAAAAGAAATAATTTCGTATCGAGAAATTAAATTTGCATTAAAATCTAAGGAGCAGATAGACAGGGATATTATTAGGGAATTTAGTGGAGGCCATGCAGAAGGTCTGGTTGTTAGGGGCAGAACTGAGAGAAGAGAATTTGATAAAAGTAGATCTAAATCCAGACATAGAAATGTGGAGTGCAATTATTGTCATAAAATGAGGCACATTAAGGCAGATTGTTTCAAATTGAAAAATAAATTGAAACAAAAGAGAAAACCTGGTGAGAAAAATTTTGAGACTGCCGAAACTGGTGTTGCAGCTGATGAGAATGAAGGAAGTATTTTCTTTGTAACTGATGACAGGACAAGGTCTAAAAATGGATGGATTTTAAATTCGGGGTGCTCTTATCACATGTGTCCCAATAGGGATTTATTTTCCACTTATGAATCTTACAATGGTGGAATTATTTTGATGGGTAATAATGCCGCTTGTAATGTTGTTGGTAAGAGTACAATTCGAATTAAAATGCATGATGGTATTGTGAGAACGCTTACTAATGTTAGACATGTTCCTGATTTGAAAAAGAATCTCATATCTTTGGGCACCCTAAAGGCTCTTGGGTGCAAATACACAGCTGAAAATGGCGTTATGAAGGTTTCTAAAGGTGCTCTCGTTGTAATGAAAGCTTGCAGGGTTGGTAGCTTATATGTTTTGCAGGGATCTACTGTCACAAACTCGGTTGCAGTTTCATCATCATCATCTTTGTCTGATTCTGACATCACCAAATTGTGGCATATGCGTTTGGGACATATGAGCGAGAAAGGCTTGGGCATACTAAGTAAAAGGGGACTTCTTTGCGGTCAGAGTACTGGGTCACCGGAATTCTGTGAACATTGTAATTTTGTGAAGCAAAAGAGAGTTAGCTTCAGTTCTCCAGTAATTCATAAGACGAAAGATACTCTTGATTATATTCATTCAGATTTATGGGGTCTATCTCGTGTTCCGTCTAAAGGTGGTGCCAGGTATATGTTGACTTTCATTGATGATTATTCAAGAAAAGTTTGGGTCTATTTTCTTAAACATAAGAATGATGTTTACCTCACTTTCAAGCAATGGAAAGTTTTGATTGAGAAACAGACAGGTAAACAGATCAAGCGGCTTAGAACAGATAATGGTATGGAATTTTGTGAAAGAGAATTTGATGAATTTTGCAAGAATGAAGGAATTGTTCGGCATCACACTGTTAGGATGACGCCTCAGCAAAATGGTGTGGACGAACGTATGAACAAAACACTTTTGGAGAGAGCGAGGTGCATGATCTCTAACGCAGGGTTGGCAAAGGATTTTTGGGTTGAGGCAATTTCTATGGCCTGTTATATTGTCAACCGTGCTTTTTCTGCTACTCTTAATTTCAAAACTCCTGAGGAAGTTTGGTCAGGTATTCCTGTTGATTATTTTGATTTTAAAATTTTTGGATGTCCAGTATACATGCATGTAAATGATGAAAAATTAGAACCTCGAGCTAAAAAGTGTATTTTCCTTGGGTATGTTTCTGGGGTGAAAGGATACAGATTATGGTGTCCTGATTCCAAATCTCCAAAATTTATAATTAGTAAAGATGTTACTTTTGATGAATTCTCTATGTTATTTTCCAAGAAGGAGTCGTCTAGTTCTTGTCAAGTAGATAATAGTATGCAGAAGCAGGTGAAGCTTGAGATTGGTAGTTCTGGTCCTTCTATTCAACAAGTGCCAGTAGATGCATCTGAATCTACTGATAAAAATAATTCAGAAGAGAAAGAATATTCCATTGCCAGAGATAGACCAAGGAGGGATATTCAACCACCACAAAGATATGCAAATCTAGTTGCATATGCTTTGTCTATCGTGGAAGAAACTGATGTAGTTGATGAGTCTACTACTTATTCAGATGCGATTGCTTGTGATGATTCTGCTAAGTGGTTGGTTGCGATGAATGAAGAAATTGAGTCTCTCCATCGAAATGGAACTTGAATTCTTGTGAAGCTGCCTCTAGGTAAGAAAATTATTGGATGCAAATGGATCTTCAAGAAGAAAGAAGGTGTTCCAGGAGTTGAAGATGCAAGGTACAAAGCATGTTTGGTTATAAAGGGCTATAGTCAGTTACAAGGTGTTGATTTTAATGAAGTATTTTCACCTGTTGTTAAGCATAGCTCTATTCGTGTTTTGCTTTCTTTAGTTGCCACGTATGATTTAGAGTTGGAGCAGTTTGATGTTAAAACAGTTTTCCTGCATGGTGAATTTGAAGAAAAATTTTATATGAATCAACCTCGGGGATTTGAAATTGAAGGAAAGGAAGACCATGTTTGTTTGTTAAAGAAATCCTTATATGGATTGAAGCAGTCTCCAAGACAGCGGTATAAGAGATTTGACACTTTTATATTGAGTCATGGTTATTCAAGGAGCATATATGATAGTTGCGTTTACTTCCGGAAGTTAGATGATGGTTCTTTTATTTATTTGCTACTTTATGTTGATGGCACGCTCATTACTGCCAAGAATTTGTCAGAAATTCACACTTTGAAATTGCAGTTAAGTAGTAAATTTGACATGAAACATTTGGGAGCAGCTAAGAAAATTCTTGGCATGGGATCAAAAGAGACCGAGGAGCTGAAAATTTATTCTT